CAGTCGGTATTTTTTTTAAAATTTATAATTTTATCACGTGGAGTTACAGTTTCTATGGCACTGTCACAATGACCGCTCCAGAAGTCAAGCAACAGCATCGTATTGGAACCTACATTAGGGAAATATACTTTTTGCAGCCATATTTTAAAGAGATCTAAAATCAAAAATTTTATTTGTAAAATCATTTATAATGACATTAATTGTAACTAGATGGGATTATGTATACCTGTAGTCAACTTACCAGATTTAGATGCTTCTACGTAAACATTTTCGGGTCTAAATAAAGTGGTTTCAACAATGGGTCCAAACTCACCGCTAGATTCCTTCAAAACTAAAAAGAGTGGTGACAGTAATTCTCCTGCGGCTGATATGAGTGGCTGTATAGTATAACTGTGGGTTGTTGAAGAAACTGACTGTACTAAACACTGTACCTGCTTTTCTCCTTCAACCGCTAGCGTTCTTCCGGAGTGCATTTCCAGTTGGAATCCGCTCTGATCAGAATTAAACACATTATGAATTCCAATTATTCTTATGCCTGCTTTAACATCAGCAATAAAAGTATTTGCTTTAATCGTTAGTTCTGAATTACTTTCTAGTGTTTTCTTGGTTATAAAATTATTTATTTTCCGGGATACTATTCTATGAGCTTTCTTGAATTTACAAAGCCAGTTATTCCAAGCTTTGAATCTTACATCTTCTGATCCTATAATCTTTTGAGCTTGCAATGCCCATCGACGTATGTCACGATCATGAATGATGTAACCAGCGTCTACTGCTGCTTTAAAATTATCAAAAGTGTACTGACAAATTCTTGCAATTTTTTCTCTATAAGTACCACCTTTGTTGACTGTATGAGCCCAACGTTTCAACTGACTCACAGATGAAACTTTCTTAAATTTTTGACGTACACTTTCAACATTTAAATTTTTTTTTTTGCCACTTCTCCAGTATTCTACGGCTCTTTGCTTATATTCAAAACTGACATCTTCATTGTTTTTGGTACAATGGTCGGTGGGTGCTTCGAAATCGTCAGGAAAATGGTGTTGAACTTCATCTTCTACTATTTTTGCAGCATGATCTTTGTAATCTTCTTGAAAATCTAATGTATCTTCAACGATCATATCTACTTCATTGAAATCATTCACGGAATCTATTAAAATGCTTTTAATTCTTTCCGACAATTGAATCTCTTTATAATTTGTCTCACTTTCAGGTATTTGTAGAGTTTGAAAGTAAGCTAATAATAAATTTAAAACGTTCAGAGCGTTAATTTTCATTTTTTAATCTGAAATAAAAAAAAATATACAGTGCCGGTCAGCCACTTTTACCCCCCCACGGGCAAAATCAGTCTAACTTCAAAGTTTTATATCTCTGGTAGAAATTAACGTACAGAGACGCGCGTGGGTGCGTTTGAAAGGTCTTTCGGAGAGTTTTCAAATGATATGACTCACGGTTGCCATCGATTGTTTTTTTAAATTTTGCAACAATTATGCAAAATTGAAAATTCTGAAATTTTTTTATTATTTTTGACAATTAGCCAATTTTGGAAAAAAAATTGTACGAAAATTTGAAGTACACCATTTTTTAGCTATTACCAAGCCCTATCTGAATCACTCATCAAAAATTTATTTTCGTCAAATATGACGCGCGCACGGGCATTTTTTCCTGGAAGTGACAGTTTTTTTCAACATTTTTTATCTCCGTCAAATTGTAACAATCGAAAAAAATTTTATAGGAGAAAAAATGTTTGTTTTTTCACGTAGAATACTGCAATAATTTTTTTTTCGGTTTTTCGAAAAATTTTTTTTTTCGGTTTAAATTATTTTTCAAGGTCGAAAAAAAAAAGATTTTTTTTTTTATGTAATTTACGATACTTATTATGTAGTATTATTGAATGGATGGAAAAAAATTTTTTTTTGTGGTTTCTCATCTTTTTAGCGTACCGACTGTGAGAAAAAAAAATTGAAAAAAACCGAAAAAAAAAATTTTTCGAAAAACCGAAAAAAAAATTATAAAATTTTTTTCGATTGTTACAATTTGACGGAGATAAAAAATGTTGAAAAAAACTGTCACTTCCAGGAAAAAATGCCCGTGCGCGCGTCATATTTGACGAAAATAAATTTTTGATGAGTGATTCAGATAGGGCTTGGTAATAGCTAAAAAATGGTGTACTTCAAATTTTCGTACGATTTTTTTTCCAAAATTGGCTAATTGTCAAAAATAATAAAAAAATTTCAGAATTTTCAATTTTGCATAATTGTTGCAAAATTTAAAAAACAATCGATGGCAACCGTGAGTCATATCATTTGAAAGCTCTCCGAAAGACCTTTCAAATGCACCCACGCGCGTCTCTGTACGTTAATTTCTACCAGAGATATAAAACTTTGAAGTTAGACTGATTTTGCCCGTGGGGGGGTAAAAGTGGCTGACCGGCACTGTATATATATATATATATATCTTATATATCTTCTATTATATTAAACAGAAGGCGCGAAATTCTCCGTGCGTCCGTCCATCCATCCATCCGTCCTTATTTTTCTTATTTTCCTTATTTTTCCTCTGTATAGGTCTCTCCTGATATCGCTGGAGAATAAGAAATAAACTGAATAACAAATAAACAAATTAGGATAAAAACAAATAAATAAACAAATTGATAAGTAAACAATAATGATAAACAAACTTATAGAAAACATTCATGAAAAAAATTAATTAATAAATTAAAAAGTAAACATATTAATTAATAAACAATAATAATAAACAAATCAATAAGTAAACAATAATTATAAACATCATTAATTAATAAATCCTCATAATCAGTGTAATTTCAATTTTTTTAATAACAAATATTAAAAAGCCGTAAAATTATTTGCATATAAAAAATAATTTTATAGTTATACTTACGTAGCAGGTACTACGAAATATGAATTAACGAAATAGTATCTTATTATTATTTGTACTTATAATCTTATATTCTTATTACTATTTATTATGCTGTTAGTTCAATAGTCGATACAATACGTCCAACAACAAGAAAGTTGTGTTGGCTACTGATGAAGAATTACTTACTCATATTTATCAATCATGAAAATAACAGACAATCGTCAGAGACACTGATAGTAGGACGTAAATAAAATTCTGATAATACTATCATTCATATACCAAAATTTTTGCGCATCCGAGAAACTATACTTATCTTCTAGGTATACTTATAATATTATATTATTCTTGACTTGTTTTTTTATATAATAAAAGTTATTTATTTTTTGATAGAATTAATAAACGATAGAACGTAAAAAATTTAAAAGAGAGCAACAAAATAGCTATGAAATCATAGCTTATTTGATTTAGAAGAGATTGCAACGATATGTCAGAAACTTTTTTTAGGATGGTTTTTCAACATTGAGGGTGGTTTTGAAAATAAGTTTGAACAGGTAAATTTTTTATTCTTATTCTATCCACGGTAATATTTTTTCCAATTTTTTTAAGCTCATTATGAACTTTTTTTCAAAAATAGGAATGGAGAAGGGAAAAATTTCGATGACATAAATTAGGGGTTGCAACCCTCGTGGTCGAAACTGCACGAGATAAATGTGTTTGTACATTATAAGTGATGAGCAACGTATTTTACAGTAAATTATCAACAGGACCTGTAATGTATTGGAAACAATTTTTTGGGGGTGGTTTTTCAACATTAGGGGTGGTTTTAAAAATGAGAAGTAAATTTTTTTTTCTTATTCTATCCATGGTAATATTTTTTCTAATTTTTTTAAGCTCATTATGAACTTTTCTTCAAAAATAGGTACAAAGAAGGTAAAAATTTCGATGACAGAAATTAGGGGTTGCAACCCTTGTGGTCGAAACTGCACGAGATAGTTGTGTTTGTACAGTATAAATGATGCTTAACGTATTTTACACTAAATTATCAACACCACCTGTAATGTATTGAAAACAATTTTTTAGGGGTGGTTTTTCAACTTTAAGGGGGTAGTTTGAAAAAAAGCTTGACTAGATTAACTTTATTTTTGTATTTTATGTAGGGTAATATTTTTTCCAATTTTATTCGGGTTATTTTAATTTTTTTCATAAAAATAGCCATGAAATAGATAGTATTTTAAATAAAAAAAATAAGGGTTGCATCCCTTGTGGTCGGAATTGCATGTGCTAGTTTGCTTTTCGCATGAGAAGTGATATGAAATTTGTTTGGTCGTAAAATATCAATTAGATGCTGAGATACATTGGAAAATCTATTTTTGGGGGTGAACTTTGAGGGTTGTTTTCACCCCCTCAAAGTGTTTTTCCGCCGATAAAAAAAAATACGTATGTCTTATTTTTTGATGAACTATAACATATCAAAAGATTATTGAAATCGGTGAGGTCGGGTTGGGGGGGTTTCTTTGTTAGAGCAATAATGAACTGTAATATATGATTATAATAATCAATACTGCGCGTACATTATCGAGTTAGAATGGTTGTTTAGTTGAAATGTGGAATAAGAGATCGAAAAGGTTTTATAACTAGAAGCCTAGCCGGACACTCGTGAGCTACACCATTGGATACCCGTTAGTTCATTATGTTTGGCATTGTTTGAAATTATTTTGTAATGAATATCAAGATCTTATTGTTAGTCATGTATTTTTTTCTTATAGCAGTCAACATATTATCGATAATAATATAATATATATTCACATATTTAAAGCATGAACAATAAAATTTATGACATGAACGACCTTCAAGGAATAATAAAAGTTCAAGAAAATGAAAGTTCGAACATCATATAGAGTTCTATCAAATTTGTTTAATAGGCACTTCGAATCAGGACACCCTATTCATACCATTAATATCTCCATTCTTCAAAATTATCTTGTCTCAATAATTAAATTAAAAATAATAATTTGGAATTACAATAATCTAATTCTTTTTCCATAATTATTAATTTTGTAAATAAATATATTATTGAATAGATAAAAGTTTAAGGACAATATTGAACAATAACTTTCTAGGTGAGGCCGTCAGACAATAGTCCTGGAGATTACTCTTTATTTTTCCACATCAATAATCAGATTCAGAGATTTCGAATAGAAAAAAAAGGAGTTCGGTATCTGATGGGTGGAAGGACATTTGAATGTCTAGATGCTGTAATTAATAGGTATTATTAGTTTATTTATTAATTTCTCATTACTACTTGTTATTTATAATGTTAAGTTAAAATAAATTATGTTAACGACTTTCCATCAATCCATATTACATTATTAACTATTATGTGTAACAATTTCGGCTGCTTCGAGATATAATCTACGAACTCTTCAACTGAAAATTAAATGACATGACTAGATTAAGAAACTTAAATAAAAGGGCCTCTATTGAAGAGGATGTTATTCTCAAATAATAGATTCTAACAACTTTCATAAGTTAAAATAATAAATAAAAAAAAAATAAAAAAACCTTATAACCTATTGTAACTGTAATGCGTATACACCATGCAATACGAACACGTTTTTTTACATATAAACTATACAATGCACATACAATAAAAAAATAGCAGCTCGATGTGCAGTACCAAAATTATTCTTAGGAATAATTGATAAATAACTGATAAAGTAAAAATGAGCGAAATTTATTTACATAAAATGGGTATTTTATGTATATTTGAAGGTTTTTTATCGAGTGATTGTGTCAGATTTATTTTTTGTTTATTTATTTATCTGCTTATTTACTTTTGAGGAGGAGCCTATGAATCCTTTTTACGAACTGACTGATACTCTCTTGCGAGAACATAAAGTGTGGGAGTCAACAGCGGCGGCCGCCCCTATCCACTAAATACAGATCTCCCTGTATGCCCGACACTGTTTATCACATTACTTCAGACTTAACAGCTGGCCTTTGTGCATTCTTTGCACGTTCATTTCATATTTACTATTAGTCATTCATTTCCTCTATGACTTAGTTCTCTAGATATCCATCAGCTATCTCGCAAGATACTTTTAATGCTGCGATGTTCGTTCAAACGACAATGTTCGTTGTCATCAGTTTCATCACGTTGTCTGGTGTAATCGTCAAGTCTAGTAGCGTCTCAAGTCTCTATCGCTGTTTGGTCCAGGGATTACACATGAAGAGCATGTGTTCCGCATCGTTCTAGTTGTGTTAACAGTAAGTACTCATCATCCTGTTCATTCTGTAGAGATAATTTTGGAAGTACTTGTGTCTAGATAAAAGTTTGGTAAGATAGAAGTCTATCTCGCCAAGATTCTTATCCTTTCAAGGTCTAACTTCCGATATCAGTTTGTATGTCCAACGTTCTTGTTCGTTCATTTATCCATCTATTCTACCATTCTTGTATTGTCTTTGTCCATTCTTCTATCACGTTTCATATGTATATTCGTTTCCTTTCGAGCGCAAGAAAATCGATCGGAATTGCACCTGCGGTCACAATGATCACGTTCTTGGATACCGTCTGGTAAGTAAACGCAATTCGGAACGCCCTGGTTCGCTACACGCTTGTCAAATTTTCCACTTGTTTCTTTACTCTCGACACGTCCGTCCATACCTTGATCCCCTAGAGCATGATCGAATAGAAAATGCTTAGTAGTAGATTTCTTGTATTGGATCTTGGTCCTTATATGTTGGTCATTAGTTTACTTAGAGCCTTTGTTGTTTGTGTTTTTGTAGACATCGCAATATGTATATGTGCCTAGAAAGTCAAGAAGTTTTGTATCAAAGCTCACTCGTAGATTCTTGACTTCACCTCTGGTCATCATCTGTTCCATGCCAACAATTATTGGTATAACGGTTTCGATCCCTTTTCTTGTGAACAGTAGCTTAGTCTTTTGCAGTGCCAATTACAGTCCGTGTTTTTCCGCGTTTTTCCGTTTGATTTTCGCATCCTACGTGTATTTTCTCAAACCAGCAATACGAGATCGGTAGTATGTGTGTGGGTGCGCTCCATTATTCTTCGTCGTGCGCTCCTGTTTTCTCGTCAGCCGTCGGATCGCGTTTTTCGACTTGTTCCGTCGTTTTCTCGGCTGTAGGTGGATGTATTTGAAAATGAAAGGATGTTTCTGTTAGAACGCTAGTTAACCCGTTAACGTCCACAGGACACATTTTTTAAGTTTGAGTTTGAATTGTTACCTCGCAATGAATTCGAACTCAAATAACTTAAAACTAACCGTACCCTATGTTTTCGAGGGTGCTCTTTCGAATGGTAATGATCAGAAGTCGAAAAAAAGATTTCTAACCTCTAAAAAATCAAAATTAAAAAAAAAACGTGATTTTGAAAAAAAAAATTTTTTTTTAAACTGATTTTCTGGAGCCTATACATTTTTGTATCGGTCTAAAACCGGTTAGAAAGGTGTCCTCGATATCTGAACTAAATGTTAGGATGATGACATTTATTTGAATAATTTTTCATCTAAGCAAAATGGCGGCCGAAATAAAAAAATTTTGTTCTAAACTTGATAAATTTTTTTCTCAGAAAGTATAGGTGTTAGCAAAAAATTTATAAGAATAAAAATATCTTAAAATCGGCTAAGAAATACTCTTAAATTTTTTCAAAACGTTTTGAAACAATTTTTGATTTTTGAAAAATTCAAAAAAATGAAATTTCAAAAAAGTTGAAAAAACATTTTGAAAAAATTCAAGAGCATTCCCTGATTAATTCTAAGATATTTTTGTTCTAATAAATTTTTAGTTAAACTGCATAGTTTTGAAGAAAAAATGTGTGAAATTGTAAAAAAACTTATTTGTATATTCAAAATAATGAGCAACAAATAAATAAAAACGCCGAACCAACGGGATTTTCGGTTCTCTAATTGTTATGCCTGTTAGCCGGCGATGGTACATCACCATTGCCCATCTCTTACCACGGGGAGGTCGACAATAGAAAGAGACATTTTCTTTTTTTTTGTTTTTTGCCTTGTTTTTTTACTTTTTTTTTTATTTTTTTTTTGTTTCTCGCCTTATTCAAATTTTTTTTATACTTAAATGTTTTGGATAAAATCTGATAACTAGATTTAATTGAAACTTATAAAATTATTTATGAAAATCAAGGAAACATATAGAACAAAAATATTTTTGGCAATCAACGCAAAATTGTTGTGTTCTTTTAGAACATTTTGTGAAGTTGAAACATTTCTTTTTTGCCATGACTTTTTCGTGTGTGTGAGATTGTCGATTATTGGTTTCATTCAAGTATTTTGATGCTACAGCTAGTGCAATGTCTTTTATGGTTACAACTTTTTTACCACACACCAACTTCTTGAGTACGGCGGCATTTGTAATTGATCCTTGAATAATTCTCATTAAAACTACCCAAGTCCACTTTTTCGACCTAATACACGGCAACAGACTGCTACAGTAATAATCATGTTGGTCTACTCCACCCATAAAATTGTTGTACAAATTGAAAGCATAAGGACAAGGTATTTCAAATTTACCATGTTCATCTTTAGAATATCGTTTTGCTGAAGACAATGGAGTAATGCCAGCAGCCGTCGAGAGCAATGAGAAAATTTTAGAGTCCATGACTGATATGTAGTTGACACCACTATTTTTGTCATGTTTCACAAAATATGTTCCTCTCTTTGATTTATTATTATGATCAATAGTGACTCCGCTTACTCTATTTGCTCTCACAGTACCTGTAGCTCGAAGACCAATTTTTCGTAGATGAACGAAAAGATCTGGTAAACTGAAAAAGTTATCGAAATAAATGTGATAACGACTGATTTTTCTTGGTGACATAGTTTTTAGAAACCTCTGGAGCATTTGTAGAACAACGCGGCTACCCAAAGCACAATTTCTTAAATTCTCTAACTGCTTCGAAGGGAGATGGTTTGATCCTTTCCCACAATATATATCAAAATCAAAAATAAATCCTTCTTTATTGCAAATAGCCCACAGTTTCAAACCAAAACGTACAGGTTTACCTTTCATAAACTGCTTCAAGACTGTCCTACCATAAAATTTGATCATACATTCATCAATTGATAAAGCTGTGGAAAAAATCGCAAATTGTTGGCAGTTTTTTCGAAAAATATCTAAAGGAACACGTATACGCCAAGCTCTATTATTTGCATTTTTGTCTTCATTTTTTGATAGCTTTATTTCTTCAAATTTTTGACGACTCATGGCTAATTTTACTAATTCGCAGACTAGAAAAGGATTATTTGACCAGTAATCTCTCTGACTTTTTCTTGAATTAAAGATCGATAAAATAATAATTCCTAAAAATGTGTTCAAGTCTTGTAGAGTAAGATCACCACCATTGCATACTGTTGCTTCTACTATAAATGCCTTTAATTCAGAAAAAAATAATTCAAACAAATCAGTCAGAGAATAATCGAGGATCTTTTTACGATCAGATTCTGAAAGAAAAACTTCACTTGTTAACTTTTCCCCATAAACTTTTTCGCCATCCAACCACTCATAAACATGGTTTGGTTCTAACTTCTTTTGATTTTCCGAGTAGCTATCAAGAACTTGATTGTATAAAGTAGTAGTTATAAGATTTTCAAGGAATGAGCATACATCAATGTGATCATTTTCATTTTCTGAATTTGAATCAGACTCAGAATCATGAGAATCGTCTAAACTGGGAATCATAATGACATCAAAATTCTCGTCATTTTCTTCGGTTTCAATATCATATTGTTGATCAGAATTTTTTGATCGTTTTTTGGGTGGCATTTTTCCGACTTCACAATAAAATAATTCTACTATTTTCTTATAAGAATATGTAATAATGCAATAAAAAATTATTATTTAAGTTATCTAAACAACTAAAAATTGTTTCCGAACTCAATGAAGAAATAAAAAAAATGTTTAGAGCTTTAGTAATCATCAAACTACTTAGTGTAAAGATAACATATTTTTACATTTTATACAAAGATTCTTTTATATATTTTCTGAAAGTAGTATAATATTATGTGAAGCTGACAATACGTTGACAGTTAATTATCAAAATAATAATTTAAAAAACTGATTTGAAATGCATGAAGATTAAATTGTATCCAATGTAACAGGCTGCCGTTTAGTCGATAATCTCTTGAAAGTGCCTTTATTACGACTAGACGAAGCCTTGTTATCTCTGTGCTCGAAGCACAGCAACCTACCTTGCCTTGGAGTGCGCCTGCGCAGAGTCTCTTCACTATT